TGCCGTGGGCACCGCAGCAGGCATTCGTGTTTCCGGAAACGGAGTTTGTCGCCGTAACGGCCTATCAGGTGGGTAACTCATGAGACTTTTCATCTAGCTAGACCAATTCGTGGCCAGCAGATAAATAAGATAGCTGCAGCCGCAGGGGGTCAGCGACTAATTGTCGCCCGCATGCGCAAAATCCACTTGAGCCGTCGTGACAGACGTCGCTCATTGTCTGCTGCATTGACACCAGTGCTCAAGTGTTTTGCTGCATGTCTATGACTACTCCGTGACGCCAGCCAGCTCGGATTGCAGTCTACAATAAGTCTAACCAAAATGTTGTCAATTTCTTGCCTTGCAGAACGATCGTATTACCAAGCTGAAGATCGACAACAATCCATTTGCCAAGGGCTTCCGCGAGTCCGGCCAGTCGCGCTGCAAACGCAAGCTGAACAGCAGCGCCAACTCCAGTGCTGACTCCGAAGATGACGTCTCAAGCGTGAGCAGCTGTGATTCGCCCCAAGCCAAGCGTCAGCGCACGGACTTCGAAGTGGATTCGCAGCGTWGCTTGTCACCGGGGTACTATCCGGCTGCAGCTGGGCCACCATGCCTAAGTCCACCCTTGCATCCGTATCGACAAGCCGTTGGTTATKCACCGGCCGCAGCCTTTCTACCAGCGGCMTATTTTGCTGCAGCGCCGCCGCCAATGACAACGCCGCCAGCACCTGCGATGGCTCCTGCAGCAACTTCACCAGCAACGGCAGCTGCTACTTCCAGTGCATCCACGGCATCTCCAGCAGCTAACACTCCGACCAGTTCGCCGCGAGCAACAACTTCCACGAAGCGCAATAGCTTCAGTATTTCGGCTATTCTGGCTTATTAGATGCAGATGCGATGGTGTCGCCCCCATTTAAGCTTTAGTTGTGATTACAGTGTGCAGTATATGAGCCTTAAGTTGTAATATGTTAATTAGTTTTAAGCGCAGCTAACAAATAAAACAAAATTTCAATACAAAATGTTCGATA